AAAAAGAAACATTGGCTAACTCCAGCCAGGAAAATAAACAAGCTTGTATGTACATATTGCTACTCAGTAGTCCATTTATAAAATATATGTGTCTACAAAATCTTTTCTAATACATTAATCATTAATAATAAACAGCCTGCTTTGTAATCCATCATTTGCTTACAGTAAGCAACAAATACAGAGATATTATTGTTTCACTCCTTTGGGACTTGTTAAGTCTACTTGAATGTCTTGTAGGATGAAGTCACAAGACAGGGTATTATTTGTTGTGTAGTGTAATAGCTTAGGTTCCTAATATGGATGTTTCTAATTCTACAAATGTAAGCAATGGTTCAACATTTCCAGAAAGGTTTGCCATGTTCCTCTGTGCATGTATGTATGCTGTATATAGCTGAATAGTATAAATTAATGAACAGTGAAAAGACAGTATCTTCTTAAACAATTAAACTCAATTATTGTACTACAACTTAGAAAATTAGTTTCCACTTAGTGTTCTGTTCTCTATAATGCACACAAAGAGCATTTCAGTTTGGAAATGAATCCAAATATTATTAATCCCAAATAAATTTGTGTTAGAATATAATTCTAGAATTAGAAAGTCAAATTAGAACAACTAAATCAATCATTTGTACTGCACTGATCAATAAAGCAGCACTCCCAAGTATATTAACTTAAGAGTATGGTTTACTGATCCCACCTCAGGAATGCTGTAGGAATAAAATATATATCACCTAAAAGTTTGAGAATAGTTGATTAAAAATATAAACAACTGTGGCAGCAATCTGTATCAATTAACTGAGAATAGCTAATGGTTCAAAACAATTCATTCAAGAACACAACATGATTAGTTCTGATTTTGAATAAATAAACACTGAATTCCCAACAGCAGTGTTAGGAAAGACATTTCTTGAGGTAAGTTTTTCCATGGATTTATAGAAAATCAAACTCATCTGTGGGACTTATTTTCTTCCCAAACACAACGCTGACACAATGTCTTATTTCTCAGTGAGAAATACGTACTAAAATAGTGTAATACTGTTGGAGCCAAAAAACGTTGCATTATTCATCAAATAGATGGCCTAAGTCTTATCACTGCAAATATTAGCATACCTATTGCTTCCATTATATCTGCCCCACCACCAATGTCACACTTCTTGGCATTGTATAATCAACCTACAGAACTGTAGATTGGGTCTTCCCACAAAAAAGAAGAACATTCCCATTAAACTTGGCTTCTCCAATTAGGGTTGCCAGGTGTCCACTATTTGAGTGGACAGTCCACTTTTTTCACATTATGTTCACTATTTTTTTTCACAATTTTTCATAAAGCTTTTGAATAAAAAAAAATGTCCACTATTTTTTTTCACAAAATAGTGGACATTTTTTTTATTCAAAAGCTTTATGATGAAATGGTACATAATCTAAAGCTGTACAGTCTACTTTTTTTTACTACTTAACCCCCCCCCCCCCCCGCTTGTCCGCTATTTTTTGGAAGCAGACCTGGCAACCCTATCTCCAATGTCTAATTTTCTGGATGAACGGATTCCAAACCCCATCGTCCCCAGCTACCAATTGCCATGCACTGGGGATGATGGAAGTCGTGCTGGGAGACCCACTCCGACCGGGTCGTGGGAGGTTGTGCGCGTGAGAAAGACTCGTGCACTTTAGTAAACCCGGAGGAACAGGCAGGTTGCTACGCCGTCTCACAACTCCCAGCCGTGCCCCCCCGCAGGCCGCCTCTTCCCCCTTCCCTTCCAACGCAGCCGCCACCGGAGAGACGGAAGCCCTGGAGGGGCGACCCTACAGAGGATGGAGAAGGCGGGGAGAGGCCCGGGGACGAACGCCCGGCTGCTCGCTGGCTCCAATCCCGGGCGAGCGCGCCGGCTTGCTTGCAGCCGCTGCTGCTTCTGTCGCCACCGCGCGCGAGCTACTCGGTCCCCGGCGGGCAGCGACCCTCCGCCGCTGCCGGCCTCTACGTCCTGCAGCCCGACCTGCCCCTCCCGGTGCCCCGTACTCAGCTCTTGACTTTGCCGAAAGTGCCGACCCCCAGTGTGTCCCCCAGCACGTAGTGGCCGATCTTCACCCGCCCGTCGTGCTTCGGCGGCTGTTTCAGCTCAGCCATCTTCGCTTGGCTCGGCTCCGCTCTCGCCGCCGCCGGTCCGGCCGAACCACAATGCAGCAGGGCCGGGAGGGGAGGCGAGAAGGAGACAGGCGGCGGGATCGGAGGCAGCGACGAAGCGGGGAGGGGGTGGTGGACAGGTGAGTAAGGATTTGGGTGAGTGGGGAGGGGGGGTGGAGATGTCGGAGAAGGGAACGCGAGCGCCCCGTGGTTGCTCCGGAATATGGGTCCAAATAAGTAAAAACGCTCTTTAAGGAACGTCTCCAATTTGGCGGGGCAGATTGCCCGCGAGCATTCGGTCTAACCCAGGGGTAGGCAACCTTGGCTCTTTTATGACTCGTGGACTTCAACTCCCAGAATTCCTGAGCCAGCCAGGCTGGCTCAGGAATTCTGGGAGTCGAAGTCCACGAGTCATAAAAGAGCCAAGGTTGCCTACCCCTGGCTCTAACCCAACAGATTAATGATCGTGATGCTATTGATTCAGTGGGGAAAACACGGTAGAGGAGAATGCGGCGCGTGGGCCATGGCATAGTAGTGGGTAACAGTTAGTAACTATTATTTCTCCGAGTTAAGGCTGAGGAGAAATGGTGATAGCAGTAGGACTACAATACCAATATGAATGCAAAACTTTAGACGATCACTGGACCGGCAGCAAAGAGATTAAAGAAAGCTTTAAGTCCCTTGCTGCCAGCTATCCGTTGTCCGGATCTTTGTAGTTCACATGACTAGTCCTATTTGATAAGGAATAAATGGGGGGGGGGGGTCATTTTCTTACATGCATGTATGAGACCTTTGGGAGAGTAGTTTATGAGGCAGGATATTTTTTTAAGCACCATGAAGACATATATGATGGCAGATTACAGTGAAAGATCTCGGCAAGGTAGCATGCAAAAATTCAGAATAATGCCAAGAAATATTTGAAGCTGGAAATCAAACATCAGAATAAGATGATCACAGACTGAGTAGATGATCTTCCAGGAGCTGAAGGACATATTGAGTGTTCATAGAATCACAGAGTTGGAAGGGGTAATTTAGCTTATCAAGTCTAATCCCTGGCTGGGCAAGGAATTCAAATTAAAGCATTCCTGACAGATGGCTTTATAGCCTTTGTTTGAACATGGCGGGGGTCAGGGGAGCTCACTATCTCTCTGAGTAATTGGAACCTGCTGTAATTTCAGCAAAGTACCCTAGGATGCTTTCATTCACCTGTGGGTTTGATGAGATGACAGTTAAATGAATACGCAGCTCTCTCAAAAAGTCATATTGAAAAGGTGCTCATCAATGGCTCTCCACAAGACTGGAGAGAAGTATCAAGTAGGGTGCCAAAGCATTCAAGAATAGAGGCTCGTGCCTCTGTTCTTTAATATTTGTATTAATAAATTGGATAAAAAGATGGCCAGATCACTTTTCCAATTTGCATGGGGTAAGTAAGATACAAAATTGGGCAGGACAGTTAATGTCCTGGAAGAGTGAAACATTCCTATGTGAGAGATTTGATGGGATAGGCTACGTATTTCTTAAATGATTTCTTTAACGTCATGGATATGAGCCTGAAAAGAAATAATTGTTAAATACATAATAAATAATGTTAATAGTAACTTTTGTTCATATTTCCATTTAAATGGGCTGCTTATGCAATTTTACCATATACCATATATCAGTTGCTTATAAGAAGACAAAACATGAAGCGCATTAATGTATATATTTAAAATCTTTGTAGGAAACTGAAGCTTTTCAGTTTTTCTTATACAGCCCAGGCATTTTCACTCCTTCGCTTGGATGACAGTCCTAAGATCATGTTCCTAGTAATGATGGATAGCTTACACTCTGTATTAATTATATGATTTCATGAGCATAGCCAAACCAACTAGAAATCAAGTGACAAATAGCTGGCAAATCAAATACAGGTAGTTCTCAACTTACATTCATTCATTTAGCGACCATTAAAAGTTATGGTAGATGTGAAAAACGGGACTATGACTGCTCCTCGAAATTTGGGCTATTAAAGTTCCTCCATGGTCACATAATCAAGATCTGGGCACTCAGGTGACCACTCATGATTATGATTTCACGACAAGCTGCAGTCACAAATGGAAATCATGTAATGGAGGCTGTAACCATTATAAGTGTGAGCCAGGTGCAAAGCACCTGGATCACCATCACGTGACTGTGGGCTTGCTGGGACCATCATAACTTCAAGACTTGATTGTAAATATCATTTGTTCAGCACTGTTAACATTTTGAACAGTTGCTAAATGAGTGGTCGTTAACCAAGGTATGGATTTGATGTCCCCAAAATATTACGTCATCCTGATGTCAAAAAAATTCCAGAATGACATGTAAAAATGTTAAAGGATTCCCAAATTCAAATAGAATGATATTTAGAACACAATACCCAAGACATTATGTAGCTGAAGAAAAATAAGCTACTTCTAGTATAACAATACCAAATGACACAGAGTAGCTCAAAAGGAACTGGAAAAACATTAAAATTTAACAATTTAAATTATGGAATAAAGCAGCAAACTTTTTCCCAACAGTTATTTGTAGCATTAGGAGCTGTAACAATAGAATTGTCAAAATAACTGACAAAATTAGAATTAATTGACCTCACAAAATTTATAAAAAAAATAGTTTTGCTTGGAATCTTATATTATGGTGCTTGGTATTTGAACAATTCTTAGCCTTTGTGACAATGCTTAAAGCTGGCAAATTTTCAGCAGTGCTAACTATTCTTCGAAAGAAGAAGAATACTTTCTCAAAAGCAATTAATTTAAGAGGAAAAAAATTGGGGAAAAAAATTGGGGAGAAATATTTGGGAGAGCAATCTGAGGCCAGCATTATTAACTTGTGGACAGATTGACTCAGTTATGATGGCAATGAATACACCATTGGAAGACTTGAAAGACAGGATTAGGGATCAACCTCTGTATCTAATGGTAGCATAACCCAACTCACATTTTGCTATTGCTTTTAGCAGAATCTCAAGGGAGATACATTGAATTCTTTGCTGAAGTCATGTGTGTGCCACATTCCTATAATCAACTAAACTGGCCGTTCTATCAAAAAAGGAGATAAGATTGGTTCGGCATGATATAGCCAATCATATTATTTCTTCAAGCAGTGCATTATTTTCTAAACAACAATACTCACAAACTCAGTGCTTAATTTGTTTCAGAAGTTACCAACATCAATACATATATCCACATCAAGCTTGATTTCTGCTGGTCTATCTATATGGTTGCTAGGAGTTGACATGATAGCAGCATTCCAGTATTTGAGGGGCTGCCACAAAGAAGAGGGGGGTCAACTTATTTTACAAAGCACCAGAAGGCAAGGCAAGAAACAATGGATGGAAACTAATCAAGGAGAGAAGCAACCTGGAATTAAGGAGAAGCTTCCTAACAGAATAATTAACCAGTGGAATAGCTTGCCTTCAGAAATTGTGGATGATTCATCACTAGAGGTTTTTAAGAAGAGACTGGTCAGCCACTTATCTCAAATTGTATATGGTCTCCTGCTTGAACAAGGAGTTGGACTACAAGACCTCCAAGGTCTCTTCCAGCTCTATTCTGATTGAGTTGAAAATGGCTTGATGCCACGTAATCAAAAATCAATCAATTTGTATAATGGCTAACTGAATATAGAGTACAGAGGTAATAGGAACTTGATGGAAGAAGCCAATGGTAATGTTCCTTGTTGTCTTCCTGTGCTGGGTCCTACTGAATTAATTGCTTCTTAATGGCAGTCAATAGAAGAGTGGGAGAATTCATGCTCCTATACAACTAAGAGAATGGCACTCTTTTCCACTCTATGTTTAATATTATTTGCTTTTACATAGATAAACAAATCAGGCATCCTCTGGATGCTTTACATTTGCATTCCCTGACTTGAACATATTAGAGGAAGCAGATGGAAGTTATTGCCTAAGGAATTTGTATGGCACCAGGTTGTCTACTTGTGTATTAAACTACAAGATAAGAAGTGTTCAGCAAAGAATCTTGAGTCAAAACCTATCACTCTGACATAGGCAGTAGGGAAGAGTGTGGTCAAAGTTCGCTCCATGAATTAAGACGCAGCTCAAGGTCAGCAAGTAATCCCAGTAGCAACTACTATTTTCAAATAGAGTGCTCCCGTGGAAAGCACTCTTCCAAACAATCAAGCATGCCTTTGATTTCTTGCCTCTGGCTTTTGACACCAGTAGGGCAGGGGTCTTCAAACTTGGCACGCTGGCTGAGGAATTCTGGGAGTTGAAGTCCACAAGTCATAAAAGGGCCAAGTTTGAAGACCCCTGCTATAGGGTCAGTATTCTCATGGGCTCGAGCAAGGAAATATGTATCAGGATCAGAATCTAGAGCCGAAGAATTGAAGACAAGGCAGCAGAGTTCCACCAAGATTTCAGTACTAGGTACTAGTATCAGAATTCCAAGATCTTTATTCAGATGATGGGCCATAGCACTGCATTTTTAGACAAAGGTGGTCCCAGCGGGTGGCAACATCTGATCAACCCTGGCTGAACTTTGAAACTGGTAGGCATAATCCCAAATAGTATTTGGATAGGCGAACTCACACACGGACTCAGCAAAGTATTCAACAAATCTCCCATGAGGTTCTGCTAGAAACAAAAGCAAAATGTGGACTGCACTATGCTAGCATTAGATAATAAAGTTGGAAGGGACCTTGGATGTCATCTAGATAGATACAGATATTGTTGAAAAACCATATCCCGCAAGTTTATGCTAGTGATTTTATATCATGCTAATGGGAAATTTCAAGTGGTATACCCCAAGGCTCTACTCTAGGCCTCGTGTTGTTCAATATATTTATAAACAAGTTGGTTGTACTCTTTGACTCTGTGAAACTTTTACCTAAATGATATTGTTTGTAGTAGCTCTTGAGAAAATTATTTGACCAATTGCCATGCCATGCCATGTTTATAACATATCTCAGTGATGGCGAACCTTTTAGAGATCGAGTGCCCAAACTGCAACCCAAAACCCACT